AGGACTCATTTGAGGCTGAGTCGACTTAGGGGAGGGCGATACAGATAACACTATGTAACAAAAAATGTGTTCCTGGATACTAAGTGTTATTTTTTTTTGCTTATGCCTAAAAAGTATATAAAATGGCTATTACTCCCCACACGCTTTGCTTTTGTAACCAGGACTTTACGTGAAGGAATGACACAAATGCACACCACGTTTTCTCATTGAAAATAGGTACATTTCAAAATAATATCACTGTCCTGGTCACAAAAGCAAAGTTTTGTGGGGAACAATAGCCATTTTCTGTACTCTTTGAGGCATAAGTAAAAAACACTTACTACCCAGTGACACATTTTGTTTTTGTTACACGGTGTAATTGTCGCTGCTGCTGGCTGAACCCGGATTGCCAGGTTCGTAGCGCGTCGCGCTCACCGCTGCTGTGTCCCACAACCACAGACGCGCGTCCACAACACACCACACCCTCGACAAAGACAAAGATGCCCCCGTATAGTCTTCAGCAGGCTGTTAGAGAAAGTGCTGTTGTTAACGAGCACCTGTAAAGGCCGGCAACGGTCCACGAGGGGGGTCGGTGACCAGCGCCACGCCCGACCGCCTTTGTCTTCCGAGTGGCGATGCTTTCTTTCTACGCATCGTCACTTTGTACTATTTTGAGGCTGCGTCGACCTAGGGGAGGCCCTGTGTATGCACACACACACACGCACACACGAACATTGTGTCTGCTAAACATCCATACACTCTCAAATACATGCTTTCACTTTTTTTTCGCAAAGACAAAGATCTGCCGTGTAGCCTTTAACAGACCATTTTGTGACAAGTGCTGTTAAACCGACAGCGCACAAAGGGGGTTGGAGCGCCCGGCCCCATGCCCAGCCGTCTTTGTCTCTCCCCAGTGACATTGTTTACCGCACCGCCACCAAACGGCTCAGCACCGGTTCAGCCACTGCGCCTCTGCTGCAAACCACCAACAACATGACTACGCTATCATGATTAGTATCATAATTATTCATAACATTCAGACGCTGTCTTTCCGACAGACCTGTTCTTCACCTGAGGACGGCTGCTTGCGTTGTGGCCGAAACGTCGTGAGAATTATTTTATTATGTTTTATTTTTATTATTTTATTATTTCCCTTCTACGTAACCTTACCGAAAGAACCAAGAAGATTAATCCCTGCAGTCACGAAAGCTTTAAATCGAAATTTATTCATAACTACTCCGACTATTATTGGTATTTAATGACGTCTTGATGGTTTACTTTCCAGACCCGCTGAATGTGGAAAACGCATTGTGAAAGAATGTTCTGGCGTATTTGCTGAGAAGTGGGCGAGAGAAACGAGAGCAGATGGATTTTGGATTGTTTTTTTCTAGTTTTGTTGGCGCTGCGTTGTTATCGTCTGGCCTCCACGACAAACTGCGTGACTCGGTAGTCCGGCTATGCCTTCATCCCCCGCCCCCTAATCTCGATGACCAGAGTTCGTGTCATTTATACCTCGATAAGCGAAGCGGCGTGAAGCATGTGTAGTGACTCAGAGACACTCAGAGTAGGAGGAGGCACTCTGTATTTATTAACACGGCCTGACAGTAACGCTTAGTGACTACGGTTCCCAGTCAGGGCAGCTGGTAGACTGCCTGGATGGCGACACCGAAACGGTGAAGACTCCAGCAGCAGCACGACGGGACCCCACTCCACACGACAGCCCCGAGGTCCCATCCCGGGGCCCCTCTTTTACTGTTGTAGTGTTGTAAAGGACGGACTTCTAAACTTCTTTATGGCACACACTGTTTATTGTCTTAATACACAGTCCCTATCACACAAAGGGGGTATATGGTCCCCTCACCCGTTACCCTGAGGAGGTACAGCCTGCGGACCTTGCAGGCTGTCTAATCTCCCTGCTATCCCAGCGTCCTCTGGCTGGACCTAGGGGATCTCTCCCCGACCACTGGTGACACTGAGCCCTAGCCCTGATAAGGGCTGGAGGGCTTGGTCCAGGGTCCTAGATGTCTTCGGCCGACTTGGGTCTTCGTGTAGCAGAACTGGCCAAGAGCTCTCAGCGCTCTAGCTTTTATACCTGTTCGTGGCCGGGTTGTCCAATCCACGGTCACCTTGTGGAACCCTCCGATTGGTCCTTCCCAATCTGGCGTTTGGATCCTACCTCACCCCATTTGACCCTGACCGTTTGATTGAGCGGGAAAACCTTGTTTACGATCCGCTCGCGAACAGCGAGTAGTTATCACCACTACACTGTCAGCGTGACCTGGCTCCACCCCCGGCCCCGCCCCCCTTCTGGAACCTATTAGCAGATTCTCGATGTGACCCTTCCGTGACCTTTCCCCGAGATCCCTCTCCGGTAGATCACGTGGCCTGCTGTCAATCAGGGCTGCTGTGAACTGCAGATCCCCTTCCCTGCCAGCAGACAGCGCTATGCTGCTACGTGACCGATTCTATGTCACTACACGTGTATCGTGAGTTGCTTGATTGTGAAGCCTGGACAAGTGCGTTCCTTGATGCTGGATGGGGTGGCCACCCCTGCATGAAATACACGCAGGCTGCTGCGGGTGGAGGAGATATGTTGTGGGCGGCAGCGGCGGCAGCAGTGTGCGGGTAAAGCTAATTAAAATTGTTGCACAGTACTTTAGTACTACGTCTATGTGCCCACGTCTATGCCCAACCGCTATACGCAAGCACCCGCGCGGGACTGGCCAGTGTGATGAACTGTGGTAAAATACCGCGGGGGAGGCCTTCATCCAGTAGTGGATTGACGTTTAAAGGGCTGTACGTGTGCGCGTGTTTCAACATTGCCTGTTTAAAAACATTATTATTGGACACACTAAACACAAACATATATATATACAGTATATTGTATTCTATGAGATATATCTGTTAATTTACTGCAAACATAAATACAAAATCCCGGGCACGGAAACATCATTGTAGCAAAGTGATATTTCAACCTGTCCCGGCCACCCCCTAGGTCTACTCAGCCAAAAATATATTACTGATGTGAGTAAACGTCGGCATTGAGAAGACAAAGGCGGCCATGCGTGGTACTTATTGTCCACGACATCCTCTTGTGCCCCATGAAGACATCCATATATGCTCGCTGACAGCACTTGCCTCTGCAGAGCACAAAGTCTATGCGGGACATCTGTGTGTGTCTGACGATGATGCACATAATACAATATTTATTATCAATCGCCTTTTGTCAATCCACTGCTAGATTAACGACTCCCCTCATCGTGTTGGTCGTAGGAGTTGTTTGATCAAACCATGTGGGGAGCGGTTAGTATAGCGGTTAGCGCGCTGCGCTATGAACCTGGCGAGCCAGTGACAATTATCTGAACCGGTCTTGGGCCTCCCCAAGATTCGATTCAGCCTCAAATGAGTACGTGGTGTGTAAAACATTGCCACTAGGGAGACAAAGGCGGCCCTTGTGTGCCGTGCCGGCCTTCAAAGGTGCTCGCTAACAGCACTTGCCTTTGTCTTGACCATCTCTCACACAAGGTCTGAGCCACAAATGAGCCACAACACCTCGCTGGTCTCGTCAAGGAGCGTAAACCATCACCACGCGAACTCCGGTCATCCTCGCAGCAGCAACAGCTTTTGGCTGACCATCGAGCAAAGATGATTACTGCATCGCGCGCTTTCAGATGCACTTCTGCGGCCGTCTGGAACGCTCTTCCTTCCGATATTAGGAAGCCACTGGAGCTATGCACGTTTAAATCATCTATATTGACAAACTCCTTTCTTTAGAACTGCTTTTTGTGTTTAGTTTGTTGTCCTTCCCTGACACCTCTGATTAGCACGTACGTACGGTGCGAAAGACGTTCAACATACATACGTACAAACCATGCTGGCAAGGGTTCGTGAAAGGGACCGCCCACCGGGAATGGTTGGGATATCACTCGCCACTGATGTCAGCCGTGTTCGGGAGTGGTCTAACCGCTATGCCAACGCAGTGCGTCAAGTGGTACTATGTAGCCATTGGTATTGGGATGTGTACACATATACATTTTCTTTCATGACGTAGCACCTCCTTAATAGGTGCTAGCTAACAGCACTTGAATGACACCCACACACAATCACATCATCTTCTTACCCACGGGATGAGAGGGAGGATAACCTCATCATTCCTGAGTACGTATTCGCATTTCCAAATATATTTGGTGGGCCACAGCATTAACACAAAGACAAATATCCCCCGTATAGCCTTAACAGACTGCCGGGGCAAGTGCTGTTAGCGAGCACCTATAAAGGCCGTCACGACACACGAGGGGGTGGGTGACCAACACCACGCCCGGCCGCCTTTGTCTCCCTAGCGGCGATGTTTACACATCGCACCAGGTACTCATTTGAGGCTGAGTCGACCTAGGGGAGGCCCAGGTACCGGTTCAGATAATCGTCACAGGTGTTGGCCGTGAGCGGGGAATCGAACCCGGGTCGCCGGGTTCGTAGCGCAGCGCGCTGACCGCTACGCCACCGCTCCCCTACACACGCACACGCCAGTACATCGGCCAGTGCAGCCACGGAAGTGATTGAGCGCGTTTAAATTCGCCACGCAGGTGTGTGTGTGTGTGCGGTGTGTTCCCGATTAGTCCGGCGAGTATGCTTGCGGTGACGCGCAAAAGACGACAACGCTACGGAATTCCACAAAGGTCGCACAAAACGGCGCCCAAGCAGCTGAAATATCGCAAGCGCCTCGAATCGCTCGAGTCCCCATCGCGATCAAACCCTACAGCTTCAACTTTGTTTACTCCTCTTCTCTGCATCGTTCGTGGCTCGTTTCGTAATGCGGTTGGTACCCTTTTGTAGCGGGTGGGTGGGGGATGATGATGGGGAGGCGGAGGGGGTGGGTAATGAAATGAGGTCGCGGGCCGGATATGTTCATCCCAGACAGCTCAACCCCGCTGCTAATGAGAGAAAAAAAATGTTCCTCCACCCCACCCACTGAGTGAGTGAGTGAGCGGCATCATGAATCACAAGGCGGAGCGTATGAGTTGGTGGCGTGAGCTCGAGTGTGCGTGTATATTGCTATATAAGAAGCAGGCGAGAGTCATTCGCCTGAGCAGCTGTCTGTGCGCGCGTGTGTGTGTGTGCCCTTAAACGGTGCGCGGTTTGGAGGCTCGGCACTGCGCGATTGCCCAGCTGCGTCTCGGGGTTTCCAAGACGGCATCCGCGCCTCGGCATTGCGCATCGAATCCGTGCAGAACTCACAAACTTTACGGCAGCAATCGCAGACGCAACGCGAGGACAATCGTGCCGCCGCGCTTATTTCAAACGAATTCCTGCGCCAGTTTTACGTCGACGAAATGGCAGTGACTCGCGAAGGGTTCCTCGTGAAAAGGGTGAGTCTTCTTCATTCGTCATTCATTCATTCTCCAGTTTCACGTTGCCTCGCACGCGGGTTGCTCCTTGTTTTTGTTAAAGTGCGGTGGGATATTTGACGCCCGCCATAGTAGCGAGGAATTTCCACCGACTGTATAATGGTTGTGAACAGGAGGAGACGACTGTGTGTGTGTGTGTGCTGTTGACGTTGGGCGCTGTGAACGCTTCATTTCATCTGGAACAGTCGGGAACTCGAAGGAATGAATTTGGCACGACGCATCACCCGCCCCCGCCCGCCGTTCTCCTCCTCGTGCGCCTGTGTGCGGTGGCTATGCGAGACGCGTGTTTATGTATGTACTGTGCCGAACTTATTCTGCGCCGTACGTAGCCAGCCGTGCTAGTACGGGGTTATGGGGAGAAAGACAACACACTAAAACACACAAAGCAGTTCTAAAGAAATGTGTTTGACACTCTAGATGATCTAAAAGCTCATAGCTCCAGTTGCTTCGTAATATCGGAAGGAAGAACGTTCCAGACGGCCGCAGAAGCGCATCTGTAAGGGCGCAACAGCTGTTGCTGCTGCGAGGATGAGCGGAGTTTGCGTGATGATGGTTTATGGTCCTTGACGAGCAGCGAGGTATTGTGATTCATTTTGTGGCACGCACTTTGTGGGTAATGAGTGCGACCTTATGAAGACTAATGCGTAGCGTTACCAGGTGTCATTGACGACGGTACGTTAATGCAGCACAGGGCGCAATCATATAGGATTGTTATGGATAGGCGCCTCTTGTAGTCTCGTGGTAGTGCCTTACGCCGATAATTCCGACTCCCAAGCCAAGCGTGACAGCATTACGCAGCAAAATCCGGCGACCTGAGTTCGATTGTCGGTCACGGATAACATCAGCGGCGAGTATCTGAACAGGTCCTCGGACTCGCCTAGGTCTACCCAGCCTTAAATTAATGTCTGATGCACCGTGCGAGCATCGGCCGTGAGAAGACACATGCTGCCGTGCGTGGGTTTGACCCCGGCACCACTCTTTGGCGGTCTTAACACTTGCTCGAGAACAGCCCTTACCCCAACAGCCTGCTCGAGGATATGGGGGGTGGGGGGTCTGTCTTATACGTGGGGAGCGGTGGCGCAGTGGTTTGGTCTGAAATCAGCAGCCAGAATAAAGCCCCCCCCCCCCCCCACGTGGAATTCTGTCCCAGAACTCCAGGAACCTTGGCGGCCAAAGTTGTCCATACTTCACCACGCTGGTCGTCACATTCTTGTTGTGCTCATGTTCTACTGACGCCCCCCTCCCCACCCCACAGGGTCACGTTGTTCACAACTGGAAGGCTCGCTGGTTCGTCCTGGACTCGAACCAGATCCTTTACTACCGGAGAGAGGGAGGGGGCAGCCCCATGTCCCTGAAAGGCTCCTTCCCACTGCAAGGGGTCACGGTTGAATCCCCCTGCCTGGAATTCAGCAACCGCACCGTGAGTATGCGCTGTTTTTTCTGGAAGACTTTGCTGTTTTTTTCCTGGATTTTTCTGTTGCGTGTAGTCACTTTAAGATCTTCTTGGCTCTTTCAGTGAAGTCACGTCGATGGGAAGTAATAAAATAATAAATATAAAACATAATAAAATAATTCTCACGACGTTTCGGCCACAACGCAAGCAGCCGTCCTCAGGTGAAGACCAGGTCTGTTGGGGAGACAGCGTCTGATTTTTATTTTTATTATTTTATTACTTCCCTTCTACGTGACTTTACCGAAAGAACCAAGAAGATCAATCCCTGCAGTCACGAAAGCTTTAAATCGTCACTTTAAGATGTTTCTTGTTCATATTTTTGTTTGTTGCGGTTGCACCCGAGTCAAGAGCCACGTGGCTCACAGGGTTATGCCTAATAATACATGAAACTGTAAACTGAAACTGAGTAGATACATGCAAATGCAAAGAAAAAGCTTCCCCGGATAGCCTTTAACAGACTGCTGGGGCAAGTCCTTTTCGTGAGCACCCATTAGGGCCGCTCCCACCCCACGGTAGAGTGGGTGGCAAACACAACGCCGGGCCGCCTTTGTCTCTCCACTGTTTAAAACACCGCACCATATACTAATTTAAGGCTGAGTCGACCTCAGGGTAGGCACAGGACCGGTTAAAAAATTCGCTCCTGATATCGGTCGCGAGTCGAACTCGGGCCGCCGGGTTGGTAGTGCAGTGCAATGCTGGTGACCACTGCACCACTGCTCCCCCACACAGGCGCGTTCACATACTATTTAGTGTTTCGTACACACAGTGTTACATTCATACACGCAGATGCATCGGGGGCTCATTCGTTAATGCATACGTTGTATGCATGCACGGATCCACTGTCTGCACGCAGAGCCGACGACGTTACAATGTCTCCCTCTGTGAGCCGGAGTTGGACTTTGAAACAAAAGTCCCCTCTTCTCACGCGTGGCCGGCTCCACGCGGAGACACAGAGGCGATTGAGAATGGTGGCCGCCGCTGAGGCCGGAGCGGAGGGAGGCGGTGGGAGGTGTGGATGACGTAGCGACAGACTTCATCTGGAAACTCTTACCGTGTGGTCACAGCGTGTGCAGACCGCGTCTCAGTGGCCCCAAGTACCCCCCCCCCCTCACCAGCAGCTGTGTCCTCATCTGTCCCGCTGTCTCCCTGCGTCTTGCCGTCTGTTCACATCTAGCTGTGTTCTCACCATCTGCCTTGCACACGTACCTTTGATTTGCCTCAAGTCTTCCTGTGCCTCCATGTCTCCCTGTCTCAATATGTCCCATCCCCGCTTATCTTTGTCCCGTGGGCTCCCTATCTCGAACCTCCGATTAGCACGTTTTGGGAACGTACGCCGGGAAATAAGTTTAACATACACACACGTGTACCACTGGAACCTCATTTGCCAGTAAAAAATACGATAATTGTTTTTTTACCCTTTTATCTGGCAACAAAACTGACACCTTTTTTACATTATCAGAGTTATGTTTTTTGTTTGCATTATGACTGCAGGTATTGTGGTCTATGCAAACATGACTCCTTGTAAAACAAGGTGTCAGTTTTGTTGCCAGATCAAAGGGTAAAAAACCAATTATCACACACGCGTCTCAAGTCTCCGTGTCCCCACATATTCCCACATCTCTCTATCTCGGTCTCCCTGTCTCTACATCTTCGTCCCCGTGTTCCTTTGTCCCCGCGTCTCCCTGCCTCGAGTCTCCGTGTTCCCATGTCTCCCACACCGCCCATGAGGTCACCGATTCCAAGACCCACTGACCAAGTTTGGTCACGTTCCAACAACTCAGCGATTTTTTCCCTCGATTAATATTTTTTTTGTCCGAAAAAATTCCGAGTGCCAAGAGCACGTGCAATATTTTCCATAACGATTGAGCGTGTGCTTATTATTTTAGTTGCCCCCACCCCCCATCGTTAGGCGATACCGCTGCTGGCAGTCTGTCTCTCGTTTCTCCCAATTTCATTCCAAGTCGTGTCTTGAGACGAAGAATCCGTTTAACGCTCTCGCAAGGGGCATTACATCACCCCGTGTGTTAGAGAACATCTTGCATAAGAACACATCGTAGAACTACTTATGAGAGCCCTTAAAACACGAGGCCTACTTTCTAACACACTCCTGTAGGTGTATGGTCAGTGCATGGCAATAAACCCGGTATATTTTTTATTCTCAAAGCTAGAAAACAATGAAACTAATGGGGGGAAAGGAGATGAACGCGATCGTATTTTTGGTGTACAGACATTGGTGACCCGGCTGATAGCATCAACTCGCTACACTTGGGAAGTTAGTTTATAATTCCGGGCAAGCCGAAACCCGAATTCAAATCCAGGATCTCTGAGGCACTCAGCCACCGTCAATTTTCTTTTAATCAGTTGGTTGTTTTAAGTCCTGGTTTTGCGCTACACTCAGCCCACCATCTCTCCTATGCCAATGACACATCTCCGTGGCCAGAGCAAGTGCTCTTACGGGACAAAAACACACCGATGCACTCATACAAAGTTGTGCTAATATTGTATTTATCGACATCAAGCGGGATGACTTGCTGAGTGGGCCCCTTCACTGGCCGCCTTAACCCATAACTTTCCAACTGCGAGCGCGGCATTCTAACCACAGCACTGACCGTCGATGCCACCAAATCTCGCTACCATTTCCTTCCTTCTGGTAAATGCCACATTTTGTTGCACAGTCAACACAAGCCCTCCACTCGAGCCTCGTTTCCATCCTCGCACTACTCTAGGTTTCTGCCTTGTGACACGGACAAATGTGTCCTTCAAGGATCACTTTTACAGCCTTGTCACCGCCACCACCACTGTCTGACTTGAGGTCTTCCCCTTGGTCACCTACCTCCGTGTGGCACTCCAATGCCAGTGTCGGTGACCTGACCTCCTGCTGCTCCATCCTGCACACGCGTGCCAACCGACACGACCTGCCGACTGCATCTTCAACTGGTGGCCTTTATCGTGGTTGGCGTGGGCCCCTGGTGCAGTGAATTAAATGCATGGGGGTGCCCTGTTCAATGTTTTTTAGCCTGTTTTGTTGACCCAAGTGCCTTGTGCCCCTCCGATCCATGGTGCAGTTGCACAGCCTTCACACTCCTCGACAGCTACGCCACTCTCTGTGATGTTTTCTTGTCCAGTTCGCTGCCGAACGTGCAAGCTGCAAAGGGAGTGACATCAGCCCTCATGGTTAACAGCGCTTGAGCCGACACTGCTGAGACCCTGGGTTCGATTGAACCGGGGTCTTGAGTGCAGGGAGGCGATGGTCTCAGCCTGATCACCAATGACTGAACACAGATTTTTAAAAAACCATCACGCTAAATCTGATTCTGTACTTAATGTCGCTAAATTCGAGCTCACAGAACTAGATAAAAAAAGTAAATTTGGCCGTCGTGCGATGAACATTTCTCTCAAATGGTACAGTGATTGAGAAACTTCTGCCATTGTACTGTTTTTGGCCATGCACATATAGTTTCTCATTGTAGGGCCACAGCGTTATTGACGAATGCCATGACGGAATTTCACCACGCGTGGTCGTGGGCCCGATGCCCAAGCTGAATCCCAGAGGCACGCCGCTTACCAACGCCGCTCGCCGCTCTGCCCCCCTCCCCAACCCCTCCAGACGGTGTTCAAGCTCCAGGTGCCGGACAAGGGGAGCTTCTACCTGCAGCCGTCGAGCCGCGAGGAGCGCGACTCATGGGTTGCGGACATCCACGCGGCGTTGGGCATCTCGGTCGGGGGCAGCCCCAACAGCCCCCCGCAGTCCCTGACTCCCTCACCCCAAGCACACAGCCCATCGCTGACCGGGCCCAATGTCAACCTCGCGTGAGTACCAGCAAGCTGGTGGACCTGTCTGCCTGTCCGCTCACCTATGCGCTTGCTTATCTGCTTACCTACCTGTCCACATTTCTGCCTGCCTACCTCTCTACCTGCCTGCATAGCTATCGGCTCACCACGCTAGCAGTATATCAGCCTGCCTACCAGGATATCTCTCGACTCTCCTGTCCGTCTGTCTGCCTACCTCACCGCTTCTCGGCTTGCATGACTGAGTGCCTTTCCGTCTACCCAGCTACCTGCCTGCTGACCTTCCTGTTTATCTCCATCTTTACCAACCCTACAAATCTCCTTACGTGTCCGCGAGTCCAGCCGACCTGTCTGGTCTGTCTACCTGCCTGTCCGTCTTTGTCTCTGGTTGCCTACCTGCCCGCTGGCTTACGTGCCCGCTGACGCTGCTTACCGGTTGCGGTTCCACCTTGTCTGGGGCGACCCGTGTGCTCACGCGCGCCTTCCCTGGCTGCTGCATGCCCAGGGAGTTGGTGGAGAAGATGAAGGACACCGCGCTGGGGATCGCGTCCGAGTCTCATCACGAGCAGAGCGTCACCTACCGGCACTGCTTCACAGGTAAGGCGCCTCGCTTGCCTGCATACGTTACCTTGTTACCTACTTACTACCTCTTCTTGGTTCTTTCGGTAAAGTCACGTAGAAGGGAAGTAATAAAATAATAAAAATAAAACATAATAAAATAATTTATTTTTATTTTATTATGTTTTATTTTTATTATTATAAAATAAAACATAATAAAATAATTTATTTTATTTTATTATGTTTTATTTGTATTATTTTAATACTTCCCTTCTACGTGACTTTACCGAAAGAACCAAGAAGAGGAATCCCTGCAGTCACGAAAGCTTTAAATCGATACTTACTACCTGTTTACTCCATTACCTATCTGTCTGTCTGTGTCTACTCCATTACCTGCCTACCAACTCCTACACTACGTGTTTGCTATGTATGGTCACTTGAAACTGTGGACACCCTTTCAATCTAAAAAAATATTACGTAATTACTTGTTGACTGACCTATCTGCATTCCTATCCACGTTGATATTGGCCTGTCTACCTGTACGTCTACCTGGCTGTCTGTCTCCCTACCTGCCTGTCTACTGGTGTACTTGACCTGCCTACTTACCCATCTACCTGCCCAACAATCAAATAAGTTCCCATCTGTGGAATGCCAACCGTCATCCTGCCCCCGTCACAGCAATGCGGAGTTTCCATCACCGGTTCAAGACAATCACCGCACACTCTCATGTCGGCCGGGGGACGCCTTACGATTATGAACCTTGTTGGAGTAACCTACCGCCTGCCCCACCTAACCCCGATCCCAACGCGAACCCCACCCCCGGCATGTGTAGGGGCGAGCGTGGTAGACTGGCTGCTGGCACGTGGGGTGGCGCCGTCTCGCAACGAGGCCGCCCTGCTCGCCTCCATGCTCCTGCAGGGTGGCCTCCTGGAGGCGACCAGCAGTCGCGGGAGGGCGGCCGCCTCCCTGCCCGATCTCGCCCAGCGCTTCCTCGACGGATCCGATGCGTTCTACTGCCTGGTGAGTGTCTTCGAACACTTTCCAATCGAGGGTGAAAGCATTTATCCATCGCCTCTGTCTGTCCGCCCATCCGTCTGTCTGTCCGTCAGTCCGTTTTTCCGAAGTGACAGCGATGGAGGGGGGGGGGACACAACATGATCCAATATTGACGGGACTGTAGGAGGTTGCCCGATTGAAAACCGGCCGAGCGAATCGATCGCAAGGGGCCGCCCAAAACGCGGCAACGTTGGGTCTCGTCTGAACGACGCGGGTCTCCCTCTCGTCTCTCATCCGTCTCGTGCGTTCCTTCAGAACTGTGTGGGCGATTGCGCTATAATTCATAACAAATAATACATTTCTGAATTTGTGCGAGCGCGGCAATCAATTTTAACGGTTAAACAATAAATTGCTTATATGGCCGTGGTGCTCGCAGTCTATGGGTACGAGCACTTGCAGATTTTACATCGCCTATTTATACAGTGGCTAACTTACAGTTCTTTGTCAATCCACTGTTGGGTAAAGGCCTCCCCCCATTGCTGTGTTGGTCATGGTGGGGGGCAGGAGGGGGTCTATTTGATCGTACTTCATCACGCCGGTCGGTGCTGTTCAGAGAAAGTGGAGGCTAGGAACGGTTCAAGCATCACTTGCCGCTGATGTTAGCCGCTGATGTTAGCCGCTGATGTTAGCCGCTGATGTTAGCCGCTGATGTTAGCCGCATTGAACTCGGCGATTTGATTAATTGTCACGATTCAAAGAAATCAATTGCATCGTTTAACAACGCGGTGCGTGTAGAATATGTGCTTTGAAAGGGAATACCAATCGATGGATCGACGCGTTGATGCACCCATTGACGGCACACCGTTTGTTCTTTTCTTGTGCAGTCTGAAAACAATAGCAAATTTGGCACGGAGCTTACGGCCAAAGAGATCATCAACGGAATCTCATTCTCCGGGAAGATCATTCTGCAGGGTTACCTGATGAAACAGGTAAGGTTACGGGTCCAATGCCTTTCAGTCTCAGAAATCATCATCACCACAACCAACATTAACAACATTATCATCACCACAACCATCAATATTATCATTGGAACAACCATCATTAACAATAGTATCATCACCACCACCACCACAACCATCAGCATTATGATGAATACCATCATCATAATCATCAGTATTATTCTTACCATCCCTATCATCATTACTGCTACGAGCATGATCATGAACATCATCAAAACAATCGTTGTCATTTCCATTATAATCCTCATCACAACCATTATCATTATTATCATCACCACAACAACCGACATCATCATTTCCACTATCTTCATCAGCACCGTGAGCACTACCATTATTATCACCATCACCACGACCATCATCATCATCGTTACTACCATGAGTGTCAGCAACATAACCATCATCAACACAGCCACGACCAAATTCTCGAACACCTCTATGATCAAGTGGTTGCGGTCATGGTAAATTGGTGTCGTTGTTGGCGGTGGTGACGGTGATGATAATGATTGTGGTGGTTGTGATGATCGTGGTGATGATGATGGTGATGATGATCATGATAGTGATGTTGATCGTGACGGTGGTAATGATGATCATGGTTGTGGTGATGATCATGACTGTGGTAATAACACTGCTGATGATGATGCTGATGACTGTGTTGTTACAGGGACATCGGCGTAGGAACTGGAAAGTGAGAAAGTTTATCCTGAGAGAAGAACCCTCTTACCTGCACTACTATGACCCCACCAAGGTGACCTCCTCATCTCACCTCCTTACCCCACCTCATTAAAGTGTCAGCGTGCATGGGGCGCAGTGATTGCACTCGTAGCCCGACGACCCGAGTTCGAGTCTCACTTATGGCCAACATCAAAGACAAATATCTGAACTGGTCCTGGGCCTCCCCTAGGTCGATTCAGCCTTAAATGGGTATGTGGTGTAAACATATCACCACGAGGGAGACAAAGGCGGCCGGGTGTAGTGCTGGCTACCCACCTCTCATGTGACATGCCGGCCTTAAAAGGCGCTGGTTCTCAGCACTTGCCCCGACAGTCTGTTAAAGGGTAGACGGGGATATTTGTCTTCGTATGTGTCATAGTGTTCATGTATGTGGGGAGCGGCGACCAAATGTTTAAATGCACTGCGCTACAAACCCCAATAGCGTGAGTTCGATTCGCAGCCATGACTAACATCAGTGGCGCGCGATACTGAACCCAGTGCTGGCCTCCCCAGGTGTGGTTGGCGAAGACAACGGTGGCATTGTCAGAACCTGTCCTGAGTAATAGAACAACCTGTGGTGGGCCACATCTAGGTTGACTGAGCCTTAAATGCGGTGTGGGTTAACATTATTGACACACTGGAAAGAGAGGGGCAGGCAGGCCGGCAGGCAGCGGCGCGTGGCTCCCGCCGCACCGCCTCGCTCGTGTGCCTTGGGCGCCGGCCTTAATGGGCGCTCGCTAACTGTGTGCATGTCTCTCTGTGGTGCGTGCAGGAGAGATCCGAGCGCCCTCTGGGGGGGTTCCCCGTCCGGGGCTGCCTGGTCACGGCGCTGGACGACGGAGGGGTGCCTCCCGGTAAGCCACAAATGCCGCCAAGGCACGACTCATTATCGTTACTCTACGTTGTTGCTGTGTGTCATCCCAATTGAGCAACTTGCAGGTTAATGGTTCAGCCATTGGGATGTTTTGGCCAATACCAGTTACAATGTACGTGATTTTAGGTTGTGGAGGAAAACGGAGAACTCAGAGGAAGCCCATGCAGAACAGGAGGAGAAACATTCAAACGCCACACAGAAAGGCGCCAGATTTGGGCGTTGAACCCAGGGAATTATTTTTGTGAGGCACAAGTGTTACCATTCCGCCGCCCTGATGATAATGCTGCCACTTTTATTTTGTGTCATGATCTTCCTCATCATCATCAACTGCTTCAGGTGAACACAGACAATCGTCATCATCATCATGTGAATATCATCATCATCATCATGTGAATATCATCATCACACACGTGTGCTTACAATTCAGATCTTTCACCCTCGAGTGGGTGTGGCACCGCGGGGGGGGGGGGGGGGGGGACGATTTGGGGGAGGTCCCCATCCAGCGGTGGATCGATCGTGGCTGATAATGTTCTACAAACCCCCAACGGCCATTTGTGCCCTTGTATAGACAAGTCTGGAGTGGACGTGTTGAGACGGGACACGGGAGGGAGTGGCGGTCACATTCCAAACCGTTAACGCGAGCCTCGTGCTGAAGACAACCAAGTTAAATAATGATATATTAAGACGTTATGTTAGCCTCTTATATCAGTTATATTCGTCTGCAGTATTCTCTCGTTCTTCGTGAGGGAAACGTTCCGGAGATGATCGTGAAAAGCAAATTTCACGTATAATGTTATTGGCGTACGAAAACATATTTTTTTATGAGCTACTTTCAATAAATGCTGTAGATAAATAAGCTATTAGATACATGAAAATTATAACACGAACAAAAGTCGTGAGAATGTTATTGTTTTACATTTTTATTATTTTATTGTTTCCTTTCTACGTGACTATACCGAAAGAACCAAGAATATTAAATAATTGTTGACAATTTAACTTACCTTAAATGATGGTGATGTTGCACATCATCGCTTTATCTCATCACATTCTCGCGTCACATTCTCTCTCATCACTTCGTCTCATCGCTTCCTTTCTCTCTCTCTCTCGATGCAGCAGTCGCGTACAGTTCTAGAAGCGATTCGGCGGAGAGCCAAATTCGCTGATAGCCAAGTTGGTGAATAGCGGGAGAACACCGTCCACGCACGGCACAAACCTCTCCACTTGTGGCTTTTCGGCGTTGTTTCTGCGCGTTGCCCGTCACGCTTTTGTCCGACGCCTCGCTCCGCGTGCCGGGAGCTTCCCCGTGAACTCTGTACTTCTGACGCCGCACCGAACAACAGCACAAGCGGCGGCACAACCGCGAAAATTCTCTCCTGGGGGAAGGGGGGACAGCCGTGCCGTGTGGCGCGGCACGGCCGCTGAAGAAAAATAAAAACCTCGTCGCCGCCGCCGTCATGATTTCATTATTTAGAAACCACGACCACCGGCCCCGCACCTCGTGCCAGCCAGCGTCTAGACACATTGGCTGCGGCGTGGCCACACGAAGGCAAACCACCAAGACAGGTGTTTGCTCTGTACCTGTGGTTGCCATCGTTTAATCAGACAGTAATTTGACATTGTCATCATGATCAAGCAATCGAACTTTATTTCTTCGAGGTGTCTTTCTTTAAATCAAGGCCTCCTTCCTGTATAGATATGTATATAAATCATTCTCCTCCGTCAAAACTACAAAAAAAATGTGCAATTTAAATTGGGTTAATCTCCAGCAATACATTTTGTCATGTTCATTTAGTTTTCATTTCATCTGTAAATGCCGGGCTAAGCAGGTGTGGTTATTTACCGAGGAAAACCTCGGCGAGTCTCAAGGCTCATCTCTCTTTCAAGAGTGTCCTGCTCCAGCAATGGGGATGTTTGGCCAGATGCCATGAATTTGCTTTTGTTAACACGTTTAAACAATTATGTGCCCCCCATTACGTAGCCTGCGCAAGCTCTATGGCAACTTGTTTGTACACAGTGGTAACCCATCAAAGCACTATTCAGGCTCCAACCTGCTTAGCTTCCAGAGATCGGGCGCATTCCAACTTGACGCGATAACGGCGCGAGAGGGCAAATGGTCTTGCTCATGCTGCTGCTGGATATCGATAACATCAAGGACGACGGCGATGATGAAGTGAAACAAATGATGACAATGATGACTTAGCAGTGGCGAGATCGCTCATACGGCTGGTGTGTATTGGCTGCAAAACACTCGGTGCCGTCTGGTTTGCAGCGGACGTTAAATATCTCGCGGCATCACTCGAAAATGTGCCGGCATTGTGGTCCAAATCTCGCCGAACTCTGTAAGCAAAAAAAAGTTACTCGCAAATAAGCAAATTACTTAAACAGGAAACCAGATAGTGAATCGTCGCCCCCGACCGCAAAAACACACACACACAAGTAGACTCGTTCTGAAAGAGCTCTTAAAACCCTTAGCCAAGCTTTTCCTGGTTAAAAATAAATGCACGTACCCGTACGCGTCGTGATAACTGTGTCTCTGTCTGCTGTGTTTCCCCCCCCCCCCACCCCGGCCTCTCCCCCCCCCCCCTTCGTAGGCGTAAGGGGGAACGTGCAGGATAACCTTTTCGAGGTGATCACGGCCGACGAGGTCCGATTTTATCTGCAGGCTGCGTCGGCTTCTCAGCGCAGCGAGTGGATCCGGGCCATCAGGCAGCTCAGCTGAATGCACTTCGCCCTCCGTCAGGGCCACCACGCCGCCAGCGCTCGGTTCTGCAGCCCCACGTGTAACCCTCTCAACACGCGCTCCGAATCTGTAGCAGCGAGCGCTGCGTACGCTCACCTGTCGTCTGCAATCAAAAGGACGCTCCAACATATTCGTCAATCGCACTGCCCTGAAACGAACGTGCCGCGAGGAAGGGTCATTGCTTGAAACGTCGTCTGTTTTATGTATTATTATTATTGAGGCCCGCAGTTTTATTGATGAATGTGTTGATTTGCTTTGTTGATTGTGCTTGGGCAGCAGCATCACCAAATGATTTGTTTGTGCATTAGCTCCGTCCATATGTCTGGTGGAGGGGACCAGGATAACTCGTGAAGATGATGCAATGTGCACGCTACTTTAGTATAACACATGCGTTGCTATTGGGGAATCGCCCTGTAGATAACTGACAACATTTATCAAAGGTTCAAAGGTCAAATCCTGGCGACACAAACCCAGAGCACAGAGCACTTATTTGTAAATATGCAAACACGTATGTAGCCCCGCTCAGCTACCCGTCGTCTTCTGTACCGTCGATTAAATACCTCCCGATGACAAACGCGCACATTTGGAAAGTGTTACGCGTAATCCAGCGCGAAGGCATGATTTTTTGTCCATTGCCAGTTTCACCGGGAAAGCCGCAACGAGTCTCAGAACCCCATTTATTTCAGGAGGGTCCTGCTACACTGGGATGTTTGGTGGCCAATTCCATCGGTGGGCGTTTGGCTTCATGTTTGAAGAAACGGGAGAAACCGGAATAAATGCCACGTGTTATATAGAAGCCGTGTTATATTGAAACCCTGTTATATAGAAACCCTGTTATACAGACACCGTGGTATATAGAACCCGTGTTATATACAGAAACCGTGTTATATAGAGACAGTGTTATATAGAAAACGTGTTATATAGAAACGGCTTAAACATTTGACGTTTAGCTCAGATAGGCAATTATAACCGTGGCACCCAGAGAGTGGCGACCAAAGGGAAACAAATCTAAAGCCGGAAGTTGGTAAGCGACTTGCAGGATGAAGACCTTCCTACACCCTGTCGGTTGTGGGGGGTCGTTTGACCATACTTCACCACACCGGTTCGTGCATGATTGGTGAAGGGGGTTGTGGAGGGGAGCACAGGACCGGTTCGGGTATCGCTCGCCACTTATGTTAGCCGTGGCCAGGAATCGAACTCAGGTTTCTGGGCTCATAGTGCAGTGCAATAACCACTGCAATCACCATAAACTGATTTTCACTCATTATTGTTATATAAAAGTTAGGCCTGTAATCTGCATATGTTACTATCGTGTATTTATTAAACTTTTTTTAAAAATATATATTTTGGTTGTTTTATTTATTGTACTTAACACTGAAATATAAACACGTGTACATGTGTTAGTGAAGCTGTCACCTCCATCTTCTTGGTTCTTTCGGTAAAGTCACGTAGAAGGAAAATAATAAAATAATAAAAATAAAACATAATAAAATAATTCTCACGACGTTTCGGCCACAATGTCTTCAGGTGGAAGACGGCTAATAATAAAATAATAAAAATAAAACATAATAAAATAATTATCACGACGTTTCGGCCACAACGCAAGCAGCCGTCTTCCACCTGAGGACGGCTGCTTGCGTTGTGGCCGAAACGTCGTGATAATTATTTTTATTTTTTTATTTTTTATTTTCCTTCTACGTAACTTTACCGAAAGAACCAAGAAGATGAATCCCTGCAGTCACGAAAGCTTTAAATCGAAACTGTCACCTGCAGCTAAGCAGCTAGAATAGCAGGGCTTCCGATCGCGAGGTCATCGATTGCCAAATAAAAACAAAGATGGCTGATCAATGGATTGCCGGTAAAAGTTTAAACTTGTCACGCGCCTATGCACGGCATCCGCTCGCTCTGGAAGTGAAAGAGAGAGAGAGGACGACTCCGAGGCTCCAGGAACCAAAGACGAGTGGGAAGGCGGCAGCCACGCCACGAGCGGGTGCCCACAATTGCCCAAGCTCTGCTGTCCTCCACCAATATATCGTGGCGCTTATCGGCCAATGGACGAGCGTTTACATATGGGAGGGAACGGTGAGCGCACCGGAGAAAACCCACGCGTGCGAGGGTGAAGCACTCAATCCCAGGGGGGGGGGGTGGGGTCGGCAAACCTGAGGCTCCGATGCCGCAATGCGGACGGCTCATTAAGGACTGCACCGTGGCGATATTTATTCAGGACCACCGCCTCGCGTTCAGACGCATTGCGGCTCTTGAATTATTGAGGGGTGTTTTTTTGTTGTTACCGAATTGGTCGAAAATAAAAAAATACTTTTTTTTAAACACGCTTTAATGAAATGCACTGTCCGAGCTGCCCCTCCCCCTGCCCCCTTCCCCCATCGCCCCTCCCCTCCTTCCACATCCCCCGCCCCTCGGCGTGGCTCCCCGAGGCTTGCCGCGAAGTAAGGGACCACGTGGTGATTTACAGGCAACGTGAGTTGAGCGTCGACAATTAGAGCCGGAAACGGGGACAATTAGAGCCGTTAAAAAGATTGTTTAAAATATATATTTCTTGATAGAATATCGTATTGTCACCAGTATGACATACCTATACGAAGTTTTCAGTCGATAGCACATTGGGAAGTGTGTAAAAATTGAGTTACAAGATTTCTTTTTTGAGGATACAACAGACGAAGTGAGTGAAATAAAAGCATGTAATAATAAGAAGAAGAAATGGCTCTTCTTGTTACGTTGCTGGCCGACCTCTGCTCTATCCAAAACAGATGTAACAGGTATCCACAGTCTAATTGTGTTTTTGCTGTACCGCCCTCTCGTGGCGAGCCAGGGCCATAGCAACCTCCACGACACCCGCGGTGAAGGGAATCTTGCAACATCATTTGAGATCCACCGTAAAAAACTACTTTAAAAATTAACCCGTAAAAACAAAGTTTTTCCCTATAAATCCTTTATATGCGTGGCGGCTAGAGTCCTCTCGTCCTCTGGCTTGAGATGGCTGCCACCTATGGGTCAGATGATTGGTTGTGCGCCATTAAGCAATTGGTAATTACATATAATTTGTTGTTCCTAAAAAGTGTCAAATTTTGGAAAAAAAATTCACGAAAATTAATTGTCACGCACAACGAGTCTGTGTGGAAAATGTCAGCTCGATTGGATCACGGGAAGTGGGTTAAAAAACGACCGAAAGATTTGCACGGTCGTAAGCGCGCAAGCAAGCGAACTTAATATAAAGGATTTCATAAAGTATTTTCCCCACATCCCGTCAGCCACACGGCCTTCTGGGAGCGCACACATTCAGCGGCATCGACTGCACAATACAACTATGGAGAGGTCTCGATTTTCAGCATCCCATCGGCAGATTCAGCCTGCCTTAGAGCGTTAACTTTAAGCGCGTTCAAGTAGCCACTTGTCGCCGCTGGAAGGAACATTTTTGCAATGGTCGGAAGTTGCCTGGCGTGTGCGCGAGTTAATGTTGTGTTTGCCCACCAGAGGCAATGAACATCATACTCGGCACTCGGTCTGGTAAAACTCGCCACACCCATTGCTAATGTGTTGCGCTAATTGTCATTTTTCAGGAGTGCTATTATTGCAAAGACCCCCTCCCCCCCACAGGTGTACCACACTCCAAGCCTCACATAAGGGCGATTGTAGCAATGAATGCATCACTGTGGGCCGAATGAATGCACGTGTGATTTGGCGAGTTCATGACTCTTACACGTAAACTCGAGCGTCGCCAGGTCGTTAGCGGTAATCTCGTTAGCGGTAATCGCCGTGGTTTCAGCGCTACCCCCAATGCGGCCGGGTAACTTCTCGGGGTATTCACTACCACGGGCGTGGTGGTTGAGCCACCGAGCAGACACCAGTACCAATTAGGTACGGGTACGGGTAGCCATTTGCGACCCTGGTGCGGCCGGGTACGGGTAAGGAATCAAAACCCGTTTGCGACCTCTGGCAGACACCAGTACGAATTATGAGGGTCACACCCGGGCTGTAGACGCTCATGGTTTGTTTTTCGTTAAATGTAGGGGAGCCGATGGGTGTTTTTCCCAGTCACTAATAACTGCTTTAAAAATTAAAAAACACCCATATATAGCGATACCACGATTAACATCTGCCCCCTCTTGTTTCACATAAAGCCTCCCAAAACTTGACTTGTCTGGCCACCGTCATTCCGAATCGCTACACCCCCCCCCACTCCACGCAGCACGCTTCTGCTAGCTCCTTCCTCCTCTCCATGTATTCCCTCCACCTCTCATCACCCTCTCATCCCGACATCTTGGTCCGGTACTCCCCCCACCCCACGTCCTCCCCCTTCTTGCGCTCGTCTCCCTGCTGCTCATCTTGAGCAGTGCCCTCTCGTCTGCCTTGGGGGGACTTCCATCCCGGCATCCCTTCCTTCCCGCTCATCTCGCCTCTCAGTCTATGTCGCCTCGTCCCGGGTGGCGTCTCACAATCTCTGCATTGCCCTTGCAATGCATCCTCTGCAGTAACCGCCAACATTGCCCGACCCTACAGCGGCCGGCAACGTGCACGCGGCTCTTTGACCGCTTCGTGACGTTAAAGACCACCCGCCTCGTACTCAAATGCATTGTGGAAATTTTGAGTTTAGAGAACCCGAAAAAAATTGGTTATTGACACCTGGTCTATTACCGTGCCCTTATGCAGCATCTTTGGTCCCATTTTAGCAATACATTTCCTCTTAATTCACACGCTTTCTCTGCCGTCTTCCCTTTCCCGTTCATTTGTATTTTTCCCCATTAGATGACCGGGTATCCGTGACTCTACCCCCCTCGCCATAGAGCATCACAACTGTTGATGGCGAGGATTATTTTTCGTTACTTTTCATTGGACCAGCCGCGCCCTTTGGGGGGAGGCGGGGGGCATCAAGACTCGATCGTGCGGTCAGAACATTTTAGATTGGGGGAAAAGGGACACATTCCAGATTTTCACAAAAGCTTGAGCGGGTTGGAATCGGGACACGACACGAGGAACGATGTCGTCAACCCACTGGAACGTTCTGTGGCCGTAACCATACATTTCCCTCCTCACTGCCCAGCCTCATTTGCAGACATCGTCTGTGCTACTTTGGTTTCCGATGGCGGGGAAATGGTGAAGCTGTGGGTGCGTGGCTGGACATCGGTCAGCCATGGCCAACGGCTGGGCCCATCGAGATAAAGTTCCGTTTGGAGCCGAATCCTAATAACTCTTGGCGGGTAACCAGGGGTTACTCAATTTCTTATCGAATATCGCTGGCAGAGGAAGCGGAATGCGGCCAAAAATAGAACGAAAAGAAGCTCCCCCGGCTTCAATGATTCACGTCCCCAGCGAATCGATGTTGTCAGCGATGGGTGGCGGCCACCATTTGGTTCACGACTCGTCTCATTCATTCATTTACCGTCACGTGTTTTTTATCCCCCCCCTCCCACCGTCAGCCTGGTTCACAGTTCTGTGCCACTGCCAGTCTCTCCAAAATTGTATTAATATTTTTTTTTATTTGCAATCGCGCGCCAGGCTAGACACACAATTAGAGCCACATTTTAGGGAGGCAAATCCCAACCCTCTGGTCACTTTCGTTTCTCCACCCCCCCCCCTCACAATTTTTCCTTGCATTTCATTTGCGGAGGTCACAAGGTCGTTGGCGATTAGTTGGACGGACGAGATTTACTTTCACGCTTGTACGAGGGATGGCGAGAAAACTCACGTGGGCAAAATGGCGTTCCCAGTGCCAAGCTGTGCAAGGGGGTAGAGACGCGAGGGCTCAAGGGGGTCTCTGTCCTGCTACAAAGGTGGCTGCCCTGCAGTGGGGGGCCGAGAGGCAGAACTGTCCGGGCAGGCTTTCTATTAACGGGGAGGTGGAAGTCTGCTCTGGATAAGCAGCGACCGTTGCAGCAGCGGTACCGGAGAAACGAGTGGGAGACTGCACCAGTGGCCCCTGATTGAAGCCGAGGCACCAGGAGACGGGTTCACATCACATGGATTTATGAATGACCGATGAGCAGTAGCGGGGGGGGGCAGGAAACAGGAAACCCGAGCAGCGGTGGATGCAGTAATGATCAGTGGCAGCAGAGATGACACAAACTGCCGATGAGATGCTTGTGGTCATGCCTAATAGTAACAACAATAATCGAGAAAAAGTTAGGAGACGTACAATAACGACTTTGTTGACAATAGCAGTAGAAAATAAGACTTCTCCAATGCCCATCGTGGTAGCAGTAGCAGACGAGACGAGAGAGAAATAAAATCAAGTGCGATCTTCAATCAAATCGGCTTATCGCCGAATACCAGCCTCAAAAAAAATATTCATACACGCCAAGAGCTCCATTCATAGCA